AGATTCTGTGTTCAGCCTTACAAGGTTCAACAACTACAAAATCTGAAAACATAGTTGGTCAATCAATTTATGAATAAATTTCTTTTAGGAAAATTTTTTACAATTTCACTGAACCAAGTCGTAGTTTCGCGTGACCTTGCAGACACTTTGCGCATCCCCAGTGCTGACGCATACTTCGTGTTCCTTAAGCTTAATATTCATTTTCAATAATTTCTGAGAAAATGAGCGGTTGTTAAAAACTCCTCGAAAGCAATGGATTTTAAAATTTATTTTGGAGCATGATGTTATTAAACTGTTATTACCATTTGATGAAATCACAAATAACAAGTAACAAAGAACAATGAACGAATAACAATTCTGAAGTGATAAACTTCAAATCATTAGAAGAAAATGTACAAAAACAATTAGTTTATATCCATTGTCTCCCCTTCTTCTCCCGTTTCCTCTCCCGTTTCTCTTTCCATGTCGTCTTCTCGGTCATTCAACGTGAAGTCCTCCAGCATTTCTTCGATTGTTGGTCCTTCAGGTAATGGTTCATCATCGTCGGTCTCCTCACATCTGACTTGTTTAGATGCATCCTTATAGATATTAATTTTCTCTCTCATCAAAGCATCATCCTCAATATCTTCCATGAATCTGAAAGAGCATATATGAAAGAAGAGCGAAGCGAAAAACAATAAATACGTTTGGAATTCATCTGCAACACTTTCTGTTTCGTTTCCAACGATGTTACCATCTATGACAAGTCTCTTCAACTTCCATCTGCGCTTCTCAGCTCTACGTGTGCGATCCCGAACCTGAACGAAGTCATAAGATCTATATGAGAGACGAAAAAAACCTTTTTGACTATGATGACATCAGGAACATTCTCGGGTTTCATAGCATCGAACAGTTCATTGTTTACGTTGCAGTTCTTGAGATCAAGACCGTAAACTACCTCTCCAGGATGCAAATACTGTCCTATATGTGTTCTAGCTGAGAAAGTCTCGGCATCTGTCCTTCCAACCTCCAAAAGAAAAACATTAGAGGAAGATACATAGCACACCCACCTGATCATATTTTACCAACCAAACATCAGCTAATATATGCTTCTTACTCACAAAACCATGACCAGCCTAAGTCAGGGAACAGAGTCAAAGTTTTAAGAAAAAAAAAAGTACTCCTCTCTCCAAATTGTGAATTTGCTCAACATCAAGAACATAGAACTTCGTTAACTGTTTTGGACTACAAAGAGCAAAGAAAGGATCTTTCGTGTAGGCTAAGCTGAAACACGATGAAAGTTGAATAGAACGAGTAAGCTTAGTTCAAACCATGGAACATCAGCCATTTGAAGTTTAGCAGGATCCATAAGAGTAATAACGTTTGAAACTCTCAAACATACAACGATTTGGGACATATTACCCAAACTTTGTGCGACATGCTTTGGAAGAATAACAATATCATCTCTGTAACAGTAAAGGCTAACAGAGAAAATAATCAAAAAGGTATACCTGCAGATCGGGACGATCTCGACGCAGAACGTGTGCTTGTAATCGTAAGTGTTACTTTTCGTGTCATGTGATACCAATTCCTATGAACACAAGTCAGAAACGTTGACAAAGATATAAACGTACTTGAGCATAATGGGAAGTAGCAGGCAGTACTGTTTGAATGAAATCGACTAATCGTCTAGCATCCTGTATTTTGGGGAAGAAGAAGTCAATACCGGTTGGTACGGGCTTCACTCCAGAGCAATTTTTATGTTCCTGCAATGTTTCCTTGAATCAACAGAATATCATTGTGACAAACATTATGCTTAAGAAGAAGTTGTTCGAGATAGAAAAGAGTCTTCTTATATTGAGATTTCTGACGAACTTGTACACAAGCTCTCCAAAAGTCTTTGGCTTCAGCTCGCCGACAATCATCACACATCTGAGTATGGCTACATGGTAAATATGAGTTAAGAACTTGAAACCTGATTATGTACTGTGAATTCAACGATAAGGGTTTGTTGCAAGATTGTGTTGGCGAAAACTTCTTTCTGAACTGTAATTTTAACTCGAATTCTCTTCGAATGTTCCTCAGTCCAAACAAATACAGCATCAGTTAGCCTGACCTAACATAGAAAGCATATCAGTAAATGAAACTAAAGTACTTCTAACTTTGGTCATACATGGTTTCAACTTCTTTAAACAGATTGATAATAATTCTTTCGATTCAAGTTGTGCTCTCATCCATCCACTTGGAGGGACAAAGTAACGTTCACAGAATTTACACATATAGATTGTGCCTATAAGCATCATAGTTATAAACTAATATTGTCTAGAGGATGTCATACATGTTCTAGTAATTCCTTCTGTTATATCAACTTTTGATCTTAAGCATCCACTACACATATTTGCTGCATTAGGTTGAATTCCTATTCCACATTCGCAACAGGCTATAAGCCCAACCGTTGGGTCGACGTGAAGAGTCTCCATCTCCTCTGAATAACATAAATCCGTACATAATACTATAAGACAATTTCGAAATTTGCGAAATAGACTATTCAAGTTGTATAACTATTAGATAATATCATATTTTATATTACAATCCTAAAGTTTCACTCCAATTTCTGTCATAGGAGCTACAGTAATCATGTTGATTGGGGCGCGTTTCAAACCAAAACAGTCTTGCGACATAGATTATAGCCATTATCATTCAAAGGAAAGAATACTTCAGAATGACAACTTTCTTTTGAAACCAAGAAATCTGTATACTGTTCAGACAAGTTATGTTTCAAAACTATTTACGACATTCGGTACTATCAAGCAGGCTTAGCATTCTAAAGAATAGTGGTTTCAAATCAACTCTCAGAAGTCTCAGTTGTTCGCTTCTAAAGAAAGATTTCTTTTCACGTAGAAACTGGCAAAGCAGAAACAATTCTTTTGAATCTTTAATGTAATTAAGTTTGCAAGTTTGGTTTAACTCAATGAAGGAACATAGTGTCATGATTTAAGCATCCATTCATGGTCTCGTGGTGTAGTGGTTATCACATCTGTCTAACACACAGAAGGTCGGCGGTTCGAGCCCGCCCGAGATCAAGTTTTTGGGACATTAATTTTCATAAAAAGTTAATCGAAGTCAACATCGTCGACCGATATTGAGTTTTCAGTTTTTTTGTAGTTTTTTCAGTTTGAAAAAAAAACGAACATATGAAACAATCATTGATAATTTTTTAAAATCTTCAAATACTTAATAATCGTATAGCAATTCTGAGTTAAAGAGATCATCCAAACAATTTTTGAGATCCATATCATCTGATGGGTGAGATCCATGTCGACCATTGAGAACAAAAAATCTTTTTTCAATTTCGTGAATTGACAAACAACGAAATCCCATCTGAGTAGCCCGTCTGAGTAGCCCGTTTTTGAGGAGCTCTGATCGGATAGATCTTGCAAATACTGGTGCCTTTCACCGGGTCTAATGTAGATCGAGGCGATATCAACACCTTCTCGTGTCTCCTCAACTACCATGAAGGTATCATTGGGCTTCAAATAAAATTTTCGAATACGTCCATCCTACAAGAATGATTCAGAATGGTCAGAGAAAACGGACTTCAAAC